AGAAAATGTTAACCATCAATAAATATATACACAGACATATATTAATATATTTCTTCTACTTATCGTTTAGTATACTTTTATTTAGCTCTATGGTAACCGCTGTAGTACGGTCGTACTTCGATTTTCCACAGTAGCGGGGGAGGAAAGCGCTGTGTCAACACACAATACACTCTAAACAAGGGCAACACCCTAGCCAGTAAAAAAAATGTCGTTTTTATTGAATCCCAGCTCGGACCGGTGCTCATACCAACGGTTTAGATATAAGCTCTACAATTGGTACATAATCGAACGGTTAAAGTCAATTATGTTATAAATATAAAATCGGTTAGTCTATGGTGTTTACAATACGAGAAGATTTTTGGTATGTTATTTATTAAATGAGGTATACCAAATAATTGATACCTTTATCTCCGAGGGGAAAATTAAAGAGATGTGCACAAATTTCACATCAAAATAGGTCTGACATTTGTTCGGGGTAAGATTTAATACCACTAGACGTAAATCTATATAAAAACCATATCTACTTTTATAATAAAAGTCTTATTTTGTTTTCATCTAAATTCAAAATCGTATAAGGCAATGAAACTGTAGCCGTATTGCATATACCTACATATAAAGACGACGACAAATCGATGCGAGGAGAAGGTGGCATCTATACTGATATTATAAAGAGGAAATATTTGATCGTTTGTTTGTATGTTTGTTTGCATCGAATTGGAACTACTGAACTGATTTTAAAAAATCTTTCACGTACATTTACAAAGGCTATTTACGTATGCGAAGTCGCGGGAATTCAGTTAGAATTATATAAGGGTCCATTACTCTATTTATTATAAAATTTCACAATCCCATCCCTAAAACATCACTCATAAATTAACTAATTTACCATTTAATAAAGTTTTTTAATTTCTTTCCTATCCAGATAATTTTTTAAATTCACGTTTTGTGGTTATTGAACACGTCTGATGATATTTCTTACAAGTAGCGGCACAGTCAGAGCCGAAGCGTTTTACTTGTGATTAAACCTTGAGGCGTAATTTTTTTATATTGTCAACAGAACGCATCTCCCCAATGTTCCAAGCTGTATAACGGTAATTAAAATACGTCGAATTAACGAAGTAACAATGGAAGACCGTGCGAATAGGTAAAACCGTGATTTCCTATTGTAGTGAATAGTCTAACAGTAAGCGATGTATAAAATCCTTTAGTACACGTACTATTTCACAATTCTTTTTTTTTTCGATACAAACAAATTAATAATTAAATCTTGAGATTCCTCGAGATTATACAATTTTAAACAAAAAAAAAGAGAATCACCAGAAGATACAGAAGTTTTGTAACCGCTTAAGTTTGTTAAATCTTACGGCTCACTTCCTGGATTTGGGGACCCCCAAGAGAAGTTTTTGACAATTTCACTTAAGTCTTTTGTTAAATACCGAAAATCATCAACCGTACGGCACTTAAAAGAATAACTTATACATAATATTTGTCGTCTCTGTTTTAACCGACAGAATCGTACGTGATACACTATGATGTTACAAGCAGATGATATATTTCACGATTCCATAATTGCCCCCCCCCCCTATTCAATATTTTGATGAAACTGAACGCAATTATCTCACGCGCCGGTTCTCACATCTTATCCAATGACTTCGTTGTCTTTGTAACATGGTCACTTCAAAAACAATATAGAAGTTATATTACTCGAGGAGATTAAAGATATATAAAAGAAACACTAAATACATAGGAGAAATGATAAACGCAACGAATCAACAGCCCAGTGAATGAGACTGGTGGGGACAGATGATGGCGATGTATTTTAGCCAACTGACTATTAAATACTATTTAATTTATTGCCGGTGGACCATTGCGATTATTGTAAAAATATCAGGCCACCCTACGTAGTGAATAATATATTTTTCTGTCTATATTTATAAAAGGATTATACTTGCGAATTTGATAAGAAAGTCTGTAGTTTTTTTACATAGAGAAAAAAGTTAGTCATATGATTTAGTTCTAGTTATAGTGTATTACCTCAGTGATATCTTGTTTAGATTTTCATTTAAGTCCTGCGTGATCATGACGCCTGCATGCCGGTCACTGTCACGGCACTGACTGGAATCGATATCGGGATACTTAAAATTAGTAAATAGAACTCTTCCAATTTCCATAATACGTTATTGAGGTACTCTTTGTAAAATTCCCAAAAAGTAAAAAAAAATAAAAAACAAGGTTATATGGCAAAGATATTTTATTCAAATAAACGTTAGAGTATATAAGAAGAATTTACATATGCGATGTAAAATTATATGTGAACTATCACATATATAGGGCACACAAACGGCATCGCCATCTAGCGATCTTAAATATATACAAACTGACAACCACAGACATTATCAAAGGACATTACTTTTGGTAATGACATGATTTATGTAAATGTCATTACTTATGATAAAGAGCTGGTAAGTTTTTTTCGCTTGTTCGCTTGTCAGTTAAAAGACGTCCTATACAGTGGTAGGGGAAAAAAAATTTTTGGACGATTCAAAAGTGCTTATAATAAGCTTACACGAATAAAGATATTTTCATTTCATTAACATTCCGGCCGCCGTGGACAAGTCCATCAACCGTGAAAGACATCTAATGCAAAAATTACACTTACATAAACCAAAAGAATTATATGAAAACATCTTTTAGAGCACACGACGTAAAGATAAAGATGCGGCTTATTAAAAAATATTAACCCCACTTTAAACGTTATTATGGCAATAGTCGTTATTACAAATGTTTTTTATATAATATAAAAATAATGTTATTGATATGATATTATGTCAAAAGTTGCTATAGCAAATGAAGCGCACCCAAACAATTCACCTTGTATAAATACAATTTTTATAGCAAAATTCAGGAAAAATTGTAGACAGTACACAGAATAAAATATAAAGATCGTTACAGTAAATATTTTCATGTTTTTCTCTTTTTTTTATCCTGTTCATACGGAAATAAGAACTACTATTAAACTAAACATGTGAATTTTAATCAATATAAAAATAATAAATTGATTGCTATTTTTTATCAGTTTTGCATTCAAAAAAACAAATTTTAATATTTATTTATTCTTTCTTGGAAGATTTTTTTTACTTCAATATGAAGAATAATATACAGTCAGTTCAGTTAGTATAATTTACTTAACCATAGGAAAAAAGTTGTTTTCTTATTTAATCTCAAAATCTATTTGAAGTCTTTAAAATTTCCGTAATATTGTTAGAAAAATATAATAGTGAACATTACTGAGCATAAAATGTTTTGCTGTCGGTGTTGTTAGCGGTCGCGGTACGACAGGTTTATATTGTGTGATGCACACAGTCATACGTTGCAGACCAGGATTTAGGGATCTACCCCGGACGCCAGTGTGAAGGGGGCGCAAATACCATTTAAAGTTAAAAAAAAGAAGGAGCTTTACAAATCTCTTCATACATATTATAGGCTATGATGGAACGGGCATGCTTTAAAATCTCTAAATGAAATAAAAATATATATCATAATATAAAAAAAAATCCTAGATCCGGTCCTGGCACGTCGCGATCTCTACCGTCGCCGACCTAAAGTACTACATTTATAACTTTAACATATATTTGCTTAAATGTTAACAGGGGCATGTCCCGTAAATAAAAAACACAAAAAAAGAGATAGAAACTGACAATAAACCACTAAATATGTAGCGTGTACAAGTTGAAGGAGGCCAAGCACACCTAGTGTTATCGGGTGGTGATGTCAGAAGCTGTAACCGACGAGTGTATACGAATGTCAAGTGTATAAATGAGTATTATTATTGTTGAGGCGAACGATGGAGGTCATGATCATGCTCTCATGATGAGGTCTGGCAAAAACATGTTCTATATTTATAAAAGAGCTTATCTTGATTTACTTGATGTTAGGTTATTTAGCGAAATACACAAAGGAATGGTTTTTGGAAATTCAACAAAAAACTGGGTGTAAGAGATGTGAATAGTATGTTGTATGTATTTGGGTCATTCTTAGGAGACTCATTATTTAGTTGACTTCGGTGGCAATATTTTGTTTTATAGTTTTGGCATTATCAACATTATGTATCAAATCAATATTTAATTTAAAACATTTTAGTAGTAATGGGAACCACATATACCAAATATATAAGAAGGAATTCATTTAAAAAAATATGGTGTCCACCGAAATCAATGTTCTTAGCACTGAAATCAAATATATCAAATAATTTATTTTCTGTAGATTATTTTTCTTCTATAAATGTTTTATTGCCTTAGATAACTTTAAACATAATGTGTATGTGAAATTACTGGCTAATTTTTCAGTAAAACATTTTTATATCGAGATTATATCCCATTTATTAAAAACCAAAAAACAACCCTGGAAGCGTTAAATTATTATGTTAACAGTAATTAAAAATAGTAGGTAGGCTTAATAATATTTTCTATAATGTCACTTTAAAACAAGAAAGTAGGCAAATACTATCGAATATATTGCCTACTATACTTAAAAATACCTGAATTATTTGTTGAGATCTATAATAATATAATAATAGCATAATCACAGACCATTTACTTAACAATAAAAATGACTACAAAAATCAATCAGTCTAACAACAACATCAACAATTAACCAATAATATTTGTAAATATTAAAAATATAAAGTTGCCTCTGGCTTTAACATAATCAAAAGAGTTTTTAGGTATATTACGTACCTAGTATTCAATTTACAATGTAATAAAAACTTACAACAACTTATAGAACCCACTGAAGTTTTCAATACTGAATTTAAAAAAAGGGAGCCGGCACAGGGCGCCTGGCAAATGTGAAAAATCGTGTTCGGTATATACTTATATATACGCCATCGATCCGGTTTATACGTTGAGACGCTTCACATCAAAAATGTTATATTCCTCGTCACTGCTATCTTTGGAATTTAAAATGTTGGAGAATACATCATTCATTACTGTCACACGCGTCTAAATGTCATGCAATTCAATATCTGATGTTAAGGTATGGGACAGGCGCTGATTGGTTTCATAGAAGTGATGAGCAAGATCAGCAGGATAGTTACTGCCAGGTTTTATCAGAATGTTTGATAAAATTTCAGGTTTATTAGATTTGACGCCACTCCCTTTTTTAGTTTGACTTGACTTTTTGATCAGATCAATCTTATCACTCTTGTTCTTGTTGGTTCTATCAGCCAGTACTCCGTTAGCTTGCTTGCCAATGATGTATAACCCTAGATGATAGCCATGTTCACACGAAGCTGAATTATACTTACAGTCGCCTTCGGCACAACAAATTTGTATACCGCCTGATGAACTTTCAAAGTCCCTGCAAATTGTTTGATCTCTGGTGGAATCAACAGCTCTTTTTCATAAATAACAAAATCGTTAATAGTTTTCGTTATAATACCTTGAACAGATTGCAGATGTGTCATCAATGAAGATAAGCTTGTGATATTATGCCTTGAGCAACTATTCGATCAGCTGTTCTTTTTAGTGTTGCACCCACACCATCTGGGGCTCCTTTTCCGTGTCCGCTTTCTATATAATTCCATGTAATACTAGTAAAACTGGGAAGGTACCAATGGAGCTTGCTAATTATATAAAACATTTTACGGTTTCGGTACTGGCCCGACGAGCTATCAGAAATGAAATGAAGTATATGGATATTGAGGTTTTCATCTTCTATGAATTTTGAAATCGGAAGTAAATGCTTCCAAATAGCTGGTGCATCATGGCGCAAAGACTCAGATTATGTACACATTGACTGAACGTTCAGAAGATCATTTTTACAATAATAAACGACCACGGTGTGCAGAGTTATTTGTTGGCGGTTACCCCTGAAATAAATCGCTTGAATTTGGCTTGCGTATTTTGTACTATAATTCTCATTAAAATCGCAGTGAATTATGCACTCTTCATCAGTGAGATTGGTTTTCAATTTTTTAATAAATCTGTTCTATGCGATCATAATCCCGCAGTGAATCATGTAACGTGGTAACATTTTTTCAAATTTAAAAATGGCGTCTTTAGGGAAGGCATTACTTTTATGTTTCGCTGTGTGTATGGTGTTTTTTGTTACTCCATTCTTGGAATAAGTTCTTTTACTTTTTTGCCATATTCAGTAAAATAATCCATGAGTGTTATTGAATTCTTTATAAATCAAGCTTTTATCTTTGCAAACATCACATTTCCTTGTTAAACATAACAAATTCGAAGCGTCACAACAGTCATGAAAATATATCTTTGGTAGGTTTTTCTTGAATTAAGCTGTTTTTTTTTAACGCAGTCACCATTAACTCCATATTTTCATGGTCGTTACAAAAACAAGTTTCACGTTTATTTACAGTTGGTTTCAGTATCCACAACGGTCGTTTTATGCAAAAACTGGAGTAAATAATTTTACTTTGGGGATTTGTTTGCTTAAATTTAGTGTATAAGTCTTTTAAGGAATCATTTAAGTAGCGTCTTTGTTGTTTATCCTTTTTTTGGTAACGAACTCCTTCTTTCCTGAACACATATGACTGTTTTCATCTTCTTCAAGGAAGAGTTTAATGTCCTCTTCCAAATTATTTCTTATTGTTTTTATAGTTTCTGATTTCTTTTGTTAATTCATATCGTCAGTATGGGTTTTAATCGTAAGTTCATATTTCCTTAACTTGCCACTTTGGTATTTTAATCTATATAACTGTTTTCGTTGTCGTTCGTTGACAATCTTTAATTCATCAATCTTTTTTTTCTGTAACTGTAATATCTTGTTCATGCGATATTTAAGTCTACGTATAATAACTCTGGGACTTAGTTTCTTGATAACTTTTGGAGTCAGAGGAAACTCTTTTTCAATTATACGAACTGATGATCTGATAAATGGCTTTGAAATTACACTTACAGGCTATCTTTCCTTCATTCTTCCTTTTATAATATTTTCGCATATCTTTCTCCTTGTGCACTGCGTAAAGCTCTGGGACACTCTTGATGCGAGCTTTTCGAAGTCGTTTTTTTTAACCAACCGATCTTCTTTTGAATCAGCCATTATCACAATACTGAAACAGGATGAGAGGTGATGAAAACATTATATAAAACAACATTGAAATGTAAATAAATTATATTGATTGATTTCGGTGGTTTTAAAATTGATTTCGGTGTGCTTATTTCCACCGAAAACACTGAAGTCAATTCCACTGAAATCAAAATAATTAACAAAATTCTAGATATCTTAAAAAATGACAAGAATTTTTAATATGGATCTCTTTTATTGATTTCGAATACACACAACACATATTATTATCATAGTTTAAACATTTTACCTCAAATACTTACGAGTAAAATGAATTTACCGAAATCAATTCTAAGGGTTACCAAGCCACCGAAAACGATTACGTACCTTCATTAAAGGAGTTCCACGGCGACGCACAGACGTGTTATTCTTGCCATCCATGCAGTGCGACTGTCAGTTTCTATCACTTCAACCAATATTCTTGAACTCGCTAGATTAAGGAGTTATGAACGGATCTATGCGTACCACTGATATCAACTCTAAACATCGGACGTGAAGACAACTAGTTGTAACTTGTCTACCGAGGCCTATAATGGCGTACAAATGTTATGAAATGAATTAATAACTATCTAGTTATTTGTGAACATTTACAAAGTAGTGACATACATTGGAGAAAAAAATATAAAAAATGATTTTCACCGCAATCGGGGGCCGGACGCGGCACCGAGGTCAATATTTTCAAAGTTTTTGATTTTTTTTACTAACTTGCATTTTATTTATTTCAAAAATAACACAAGCTTCACCTTATATTCGGTCATATCTATCATAGAAAATAATATCACGTTCTTAATTATCCATTTCGTACTGCATTTCGACCCGGACACGCTTATTTGAGCCGGCTGAGAATGACCCATTTATAAGATATCGCGCTTCCGGGAACAAATAGTGTATGTACTGGTACTATACACTGCACGACCGAATTTGATACATTATACAAGATCAAATGTTTAGTTTTTACAATGTCGTTTTAATAATAATTGATTTCGAGGTATATAGTTGCTGCATTATTTTATTTCAATTATTAATAAGTTAGTCTTATTAATAATTGAAATAATTAACTGATAGGTACTATACTAATTTAAAATATACCAAAAATCATTGACGATAGGAAAGGTTCCCAGAAGGCAGAGAGCGTTTCCTCTTTGAATAGCCAGACTAATTCTTTTGCCGAGGTACAAACCAGCCTTCTGATCAAAATGTTCTGGCTTCAAAAAAGACCGGATGACATTTGTTTTTTTTTTTATGGAACTTGTTATGTAAGTCACGAGCACTGTTACTATGACAGTCTAGATATTTTTAAACTCTGACTTGATGATATCGTGTCGGTTTTAAATAAAACCTTTATAGGCATACAAAAACATGCTTTATCATAATAGGCATGCTTCTATCTTAAATAGTATATTTTACAATTATAATTTGACTAGTACCGTACCAGTACAATGAATCTACCCAGAGGTGAAAGGATTTTTAGATAGTTTAAGAGCCTATTGAACAAACAAACAAACAATCAAATCTTTCCTTTCTATTGCCATTAAAAGCAAAAGATTTCTATTGCCATTAAAAGTATTTTGAGTGTCAATATTTTCCAGTGTAGTGAAGTCCTTTTTTTAAAGTTAAATATCTGTTTATGCAAAGGGGAATTCTTTAATTAAAGGGTGAAAAAAGGAGTAGAAAGTTTCTATGGTACAGCAAATTTTAGCTTTGCGTTACTACTTTATATGGGAATTATTGCTCAAGTTTGTTACAATTTTACCACTGAAGGATTAAATAGGAGTTGATTTTTTTATGGAAGAAAATCATGTGAACTACGCAGGTGAAGCTTCTGAATAAAAAAAACTTTTTTTAAAGTCTTAGCAGTGTAGTTTAGAAGTAAAATATATTATTTTTTACAAACAAATTAATTAAAAGTTATTCTCAGTTCTGGCGTAACGTAAATTTATTTTATCCTCAGAACATTCTTAATGTAAATTAAAACACTTAAAACTTTGGGCAACGCAGCCATCATTCCCAATGAACAGGAAAGTCAATCGGAAAACGACACATCTACATAAAAACCAATGCAAATCTTACGACAAAAAAAGGGTATTCATTCAAAGTCAAAATAATCTTTATTCAAATAAACTTCTTAAAAGTACTTTTGAATCGTCCAACATTTTTTCCCTACCACTCGTTCAGGACGTCTTTTGGCTGATAAGAAGAACGAGCAAGAAACTCACCAGCTCTAACAAGAGTAATGACATTTACAAAAACCATGTCATTACCAGATCAATACATTATAAACATTAATCGTGTATTCCCCTCGTCGTGTATATATCATTTACTCAAAGGTTGCCTTTGTCATGTACAGATCTATATGTAAACGCTTGTCCTAGATATTTACAATTCATGTGGATATCCTTGTCCATTCCACGCTATACTTACTATTCTACTCGTAGCTATGTTATTACCTATTAGATTTCTACCACATTTCCACCCACGACTTCTTTAACGTAGTTTTGAAAATCGTTATATCTTGAGATTTTTTCGCCGAATGTAATATATGTAGCGTATCTATGCTAATTGGAACTATGGTTATCTGTGTGCAGACAGGCGCAGAGCCTCTGGTAACTGGTGAAATTAGCGGGCGATTTGTGTGTAATCTCTATTATATCTTAACAAATCCATGATTCAAATTATTTAAATTGTCATTGTGACATCATAACTCTTAAAATCAACTTTCGATATACATACGTAGATCTCTGTCTTTCTCAAACTCACGTAATTAAAAAAAGAGGTCTTCATAATACAATTCCAGATTCACTTTAGAGGGGATATTTTAATTCAGCATCATACTATGAGATAGAGAAAAGTAGAGTCGTCATATTCTTACTTAAATCATACTTAATAGGCGAAAAGTCCAGAATATTCACGAACCGCGATTCAATTGTCTTATTTCAATAATTAAAACTGTAAAGAATATTTTGGAAAGTAATTTCAGTCTTCAATTATAAGTATACTATTCCGTATTTAAGCGTCCAGAAGTTGGGTAAATATTAAAGGATTTTATTTAATTCACTTAATATTATTATATCAATTTTTTTTTAAGATTATCTCTGATTCATTTTTTCCGCACATAGATTCATAAGGATTACATTAAAAAAGATCAACAGAAATAGGCAGTTCCACCAAAATGATGCTTCAATATTATGTGCTGATTCCATAAAACGAGCTCTTATGGTAAGTTCCAATTTGCGTACAATATTCAAATGTAAGTGTCTACACGATTTAGCACAAACATTTTGTATATTTAAGAGTATTCGAATAATATTACTTTTACTTATAATAATAAGATATTAGAATGAACCACGACCACAGCGCAACGTCGCCCACGTTTTGTCGGGTGATTTAATAAAAGCTAAATATATAGAGTTACTATCTTTTGTGTGGGATAACGTATTACTCCTTATGTTATTTTTATCAACTTTTGGCCACTATATCTTATGTGATAAAAATAGACTTTAATCATATATATAAATTTCAGCTTTATCTGAAGGTTGAAAAAACTACCCTAGAACTGTATACCGTTTAAATAATATTGAATCAATGTTAAAGCCTCTGTCAATTTTTAGTTTAAGAAAAAGTCTTTGAGAGGAATAGTGAAACTACAAGAAATAGTATAGGTTAATGTTTATTAGGATTTTTTGCTATTAGGGTATAAGATACTTTCTCAAACTATAGGTAGATAACAACGTAGTAAAATTAATAGTATAGACTTTGATCTTCTGTTTCTCGTTAATTACAGGGCAAAAGTCGATTTTCATTTTTTTTTATTTGGTATAGCGCTTTTATCACAACATAGCTCAGGGATGTGGACTATTTGAGCATGCTATTACATTAGCTATTAGTGTAGACCAACAATAGATTGGCAGCAATTTACACCATATAAATACACACATAAGGTTTCATTTTTTATCCTATTGTACAGACGCAGCGAAGCAGAGAGGTTACATTAAAATAGCTAATTGAAAGCAATGCAATTTGGGTATCAAGTTTTGTACTGAGGCCCTATCATTGTTACTGATTGTTGTATTGTTACTTTGTAATTAAGAAGCAATGAGATTGATTTTTAGAATTATAATTTGACATGATGACGGGGGCAATCGCGTAGAAAATTATCATTCTAATGTAAACGATCATCAAAGTTTAAAACAACAGGTTGATTTTACTTTAATAATGCTAGATTTTTTATGGAACTTACAAGAAAATGAATGTTTTGGTAATTTCTTATAATTAAAAACTTTTAAAAATCAGTACTCAAAAATTGAAAAAATTCTTTAACCCGTAACAATTAGCTATTCAGGCGACTGTCCTTACAATTGAGCTATCGGGGATAGGGATATCTTCGTTGCTGCTGCCCCAACTTTATGTTGAAATGAAAACTTGTACGATTTTTTAACAAAAAAATATGTAATTATTACATTAACAATGTTATATCAATAGTAATACATGAAAGATCAGAAGCTCGACTGCGTTACTATAGATCATTCCGGGCTTTAGTTACGAAGAGCCGAAGAGACTAGAAGCATTAGTAATATAATATTTACAAAATTATTACTTAATCACAACGCTGGCCATACATATCGACGCTGGAAAGCAAACACGTAGTAACCTGCAAAACCAAAATGGATATTTATAATGGAAAATCTTTAGATTTTTCCAAAAAAATATGTCTTATTTCTATATAAATTGACTAAGCAACATCTTATTTGTTACCATCGACGTTTATAGGAATTATTTATCGAAAAAAATCAAAGTTTTTCTGCTTTGAAGATTAATTTTGGTTTTGCGGGTTACTACGTGTTTGCTTTCCAGCGTCGATATATAAATCTATCTATCAACAAAGGAATGATGTTCTTATGACATTAGTATTCCACGGCAGTCCTTTTCAGTCGTTGATGATTGTTAAAAAAGGGTTTCAACTAAGCTCTTATAGTTAGACCCGTACAAGTACACTTACAGGGTAAAACGTAGCATACATGTATGGCTGGTCGACGTAAGGAACAACTATAAAAATCGACTTACCGACGTTGAGTGCCAGGAACAAGACCGCCAGACACAAACCCGACGGAGGCCCGCGCGGGGGCGTCTCCCGCCGCGTCATTGGACGATCGTCGGGGGCGGCGGAGCTCACAGTATAATAATATACAACCTTCAATCTTCTACTAACGAAATTTTCACAACACCACGCTTAGCATAGGTTATATATCACGCGCAAACCTCTTTGTTGCGTTTGCCTTTTTAATTTTGACACGTGTTCCTTTTTTGGAATTTCTCTACTTTTTAATTAACCACAGCGGCGGACACTGGAGTTTGGTCTGTGTCGACTTTTAGACGTTACTTTGCTCACGTCACTCTTGTTGTTTTTGCTTTTTTTCGTATTTTTTTAAATCTCTTTTACTTTTAAATTTGTTTACAGCGCGAGGACATACGAGCGCTGTGACCCGCGCTCTGTTCACTATTGCCGGTTCACTTTCACTACCACAGCACTATGTTACGTCACATTACGCTTCAAGTATAAGCTTTCACTGAGATTAAACACATCTTGTAGCGTTCGATCTCAATACATTTTTTACCTTATAACTAATTTTATTGTCGTCGTTTCAAGAACAGTCTGGATTACTTAATTGATACTTTTTATTGTCATATGGGCTGTAAATAAAAAATATGGAATTAATTTCTAGTCAGGTGTTTTGCTATGTCTTCCATAGAACGGTGCTATTTCAAATATTTTTTACGCAAGGTTGATGCGTCGGAATGCTATTAGTAATCTTGAATATATTTTTCCTTTTTAGTTTCAATATAATTTTGAATAAGAGTTGCCGTCGTGGATTCTTTTGATATAACTTACATAACATTATTTACTGCACTACAAAACTTTAGCCGATGCACAAGTGGAACTCGGTTATTTATTCGTGCACTGTAGCTTGGAATTACAATATAACTTGTGTTCTGGTTCAGCAGCATAGAGTCAACATGCAAAACTAGAGTTATATGTAATGCGTATTACGATTTATGATATGATTATTTGTTTTTAAACTAATATAACAAAAAACATTACGAAATTAATAAATTATAGAAGTACTAAAACATTGAGATCAGTTCTAAGTTAAAGAGAAATTACCTAGAGATTGCCGAAATGTCCATTTTTGTGGCATACCGTATCTTTTTTATGTTAATTTAGAAGTATTATATTTTTAGATTGTTAATAGACTGTAATTCTGAGTTTCTGACTTGGTTTTAGTTAAAATTTGATATCTCCATATGTTTCCAAAATTAAAGGTAGATACATGGGCAGACAAAAAAGTGATTTTATAAGGGTTCCGATTTTTCCTTTTGAGGAACACAATAATAGCCAGTTTTCTACCGTAAATATTCGAAAAAAGTTTATTGCGTTAGAGACTCAATAAATGACGTCTCCAGGAGGCCTACTCTGTTTCTCTGAAAACGAAAATTTGTCTATTTTCGAAACCCTAATACGACTCTCAAGGAACACATTTTTCGATAATTAATAATAACACTGCTTCTGATGCACAGACACCTAATATTGACGCATATGATTTTTTAAAAATTGTAAGATCGATTTTTGTGATTTTCATTCGTAGATAAACGGAGTAGCCCCCCTGGTAATAGTTTATCACACTTCTGTGTAGTATGAGAAAAAGTGCACATTCAAATTGAAATCTATGAAAAGCAATATGAGCGTCTCGAGATGATCCGAAGTAAACGTTGTACATGGACGTACAGACGGCCCCTGATAAGTTCCACGGAGCTGAATGACAATTTCCATTAACATCATGAAAAGGTTTAGTGGGTCAGCACCCACCGTAATCGATATATAAACACAACAAAAAAAACGACACGTCATGTTGAATGGTTCAATTGAAAATATACGGGTAATGGAATAATTTAGGCTTTTGTGTCCCTCATATAGGTATTCGTCTCATGAGAAATGCGATCCTGCTTGGAAACTATTTCAAGAACCACTATACTTTTTGTAATCGATGTTATAGCTATCTTCTGATATATAGAAGAATATTGGCTATTAAAAAAACTTTTTATTAATTAATAACGATAAATTGGATTTACCATTTAAAGCAAATGGAAATTAAGTGTAATGAAATTGAAGAAATCACTAAAAATTCTCAATGCATTTTAAATACAAACTGTACTACATATAAGTAGGTTATAGGTAAGCATACCATAATATAGGTATCATTCACATGTTTAAAAGTATTTTTTCCATGTGGATTAATATACATATTTATACAAATACATAAGATATATTTGCATAAATAATAAAACAATATATTCCTATAACAATAATCCAACTGTTTTATTTCATTTTCATTATCGCATGACCACCATATTAACTACTTTTTATCTGGTCGGCCATTTTACCTATTGACCTTTTAACCTACTCACACTATTTATTATATTTTATGAAATACTGTGTACTTATGTACTAACACCCGGTTTCTGAATTGAGAACTTCAAGTTAAGCGCGTCTCAAACCGCACTGAAACCATCTTAAATGTCACTAACAGATTTTCGTTTCTGATTTTATTTTTTTTAATGATCAGTTGATAGCATTTTGATAAAACTATCACTTTTTGTCATGTGAAACGTAAAAAACTTAAGTTATTGAGAATAATTAGTTAAAATTTTGTAATTTTCTCAATACAGAAACATTTAGAAATTGAAAATTACTGAAAGTTGCGTCCGAATATTACATCTAATTTACAAAGTAGCACAAAATTTATTTACCTGTTCTCTACTTGGAAAGGCTGTAGGTAAGCAGAAACTTGCAGCAAGATTAAAATATTTTCAATCTAAACTAGGAATTACCTTTGAAAAGTTTTAAGAGCTAAAAACTGAAAGCGCCCTGGATGAGATTTCATAACAGTTTTTAAAATACGAGTAAAAAATACGTACTATATATAGCTAGAGGCCGTTCATTGATTTAAGATAGTTTAGATGGAGAGCAGAGCATCTTAGTTTTTAGTTAGGTGTTAGATGCAGAGAGAAAGAGAGAGAGTCTTTGTTATGTAATATCTCAAAACCTCTCGAAATTAGGTTCATTATAAAATAATTATTTTTATTTTTGTATATACTGTGTATGTATATAAAGTGAATTATTTGGGTATACTGAAATTCTAATCAAGTCTTAATCTCAATATAATCTTTGAAAATCTATTTTTACCCGACGAATACGATGCAAAAATATATGACGGTGAATCCGTCGTAACTTAAAACATATATATCATAAGGCAGTGTAGGAAGCTTCTTTACCGTCCCCTGATATTGAGCTATGTGAGGTGACATTACCTAGAATATGGCGCCCTCTAGCGGACATAAAGTTATGATCTTTAAAAAGTTTTAATGATGCCGTATTGAGTATCAAATAAAAGGGCTAAATATATTAAAATAGATATATCCAAATTACTTCTAATAATTAGAAGTAATTTCTATAAAGCATAAATAACAATCATATAAAACAGCTCTACAAATCTGTGCGTCCTGTGAAGACTGAAACATCTTCAGAATGTATGATTTTTATGTTTAAAACATTTCTTAAAATAGTAATGCATGTCTATTATTTCTTGAAAACTTTAAGTGATTTAATTGGATTTTTTTACAGTGTGACATATTTTCACCTGTTTTCATTAGGTAATGATGAAAATACTTGCACAGAAACTTTTAGTTATATCATAATCAGTCAAATAGATACTGTTATATAATAATTCTGAATCTGAATAAGTTTGCTGCGTTATTTGTATCAGATTATTTCTATTTCTAGAACTATGATTTATATCAAAATATGCCTTCGACGGTAGAGTATTTTTCTGATATAATTTTACTACAGTCACTAAGGCATTAGGTTATTGTACTGTTCATTACTTATCTGTAATAAGAACAACAATACTTCTTGTAAACGGCCAAGACACATGTTTTGATAAGCTGTAGAGTTTGTAAAGTTTAGTTTTGTATTGTATAGGCAGCGCATTTAGAGTGAGAATCTTGGCTCTATATAAGATACATAAGATCGCGCAATAGGGTGTCATCTTGGCAACTTTTTACATGAAATTGTTATTGGTGCGATTACACTTCTTTGTGTAAGTTGTTCATTGCACATATGTTTTATTTTGTTCATTAATTTTTAAAAGTTGGATCTTTTTTCATATTAAAATATCATTTCATATTGCATTAAATATTTAACGAAGTATAGTAATATTAGTCGCATAATAATGTAATAAAATCGAAAATGACGAGAGCTCCTATATACATTTTTATCTTTGAATGATGATTTTATCAAAGACCTGAATGAAACACGTATTTTTCATTTGTAATTAGAAGTGTGTGTACGTGTATAATTTCCGGATCTCTAGTATGAAATAAAGTTTTACTGGGAAATCTGTATAAACACCCGTGTCTTACATTCATGTTTAAGGGGTCAGGGTGATTTTATAAAAAATGTTGGAATGCCTACAGATTTAAATTTTCAAACCTGTAGCATCAAATGCTGCATAAGTCAGAATAAAAAATCATAAAGGCTAACATATCTAATTTCAGTTTTCTGGGACTTCAGGAAGTACCTTAAGAATTTCGAAGACAATCAATGAGTTAGTGACGATACCTACAATAAAATCTTAGTAAGAATGCTAATAATTATGCAATTGAAACTTTGTATAATACAATTAGTCCATTATTGAAAACATATATGTAGTATTTTCATTATCTAGGATAATCCAAACCTAATGAATTAGAAAGAGTTTGGAGGTCATTTATAAAGGTGATGTACTCTAAGCTATATAGGTTCCCTACGGATAGCCTTTACCAGAGCATTGGACTTTAACGGTGAGAAAGCTTTATATATTAGCTTTAATCCTAAAATAGCATATGACCAAAGAGTGGAGAAGTAGGATAGAAAAGATATTGTTACTCACTCATATTCTATTCACACAGTTTTGCTAGACAGCAACCAAACGTATGCTTAAAATTTGTGCTATGCTACTATATGTGTAAATGTAACTTTTAACTAATTGACCAAAAATCTTAATCTATGAAAATCAGAAGATGCAGAAAAGTTATTTATCAGGGTAA